CTAATTTAGGGTCCCATCTTTCTTTGCTTATATATAATCTATTGGTTCTCTTTTTACTGGTCAAATGATGCCAAATTAGGTAATGGGGTATCAGTAAATATCAGAATCTGATTAACATACTGATAAGTTAATAATATTCTTAGTATTTTTATCATATAGTTTAAAAGCCTATTAGTAAACATTTAAAGTGCCAATATTTATCAGATATTCTTTTAAAATTAATCCTATTTTTAATTAATTTTATAAACCAATAACTCTTTTATATTGTAATTAAATTATTGGTTAAATATTTCTAAAGCTCTTTGTGCTAAAATAATTAGCCTTGTGCACACAAGGAAAATGTGAGAATGACTGTAATGTTCAAGGTAGCATGCATGCTTCAACGCCTGCCAATTTCCAATAATCAAACATCACATATTGAATTGTTTTTTCTGTGACTGTTGTGCTGCCCTGACATCTTGTAATTATAATAATATAATAATATTATAGATTATGAAAATAAAAATGCCAATCGTTTGTTGCTGATAAGGATCTTATTACCCAGCAAGATCTGATCTGCATTTTGATTCCAATTAAAATGTTTATATAAATAAAAATATCAATCAATACAAATAAAAAATAGTACCTCTGGTTAGTTATTAACACGTTTTCTTTAGGAGACCCAAACCAAACCAAACAACAACACTCATGTTTTATCATGTTGTTTTTCCAAAAAATCAATTCACATCTGTCTTCCCAAAAAAAAACCAATAGAATAAATAATTAATGTGTACATGTCAATCAAATAAACTTCTTTTTTTCTTAAAAAAATTTAGTAAAAAAAAATGTTGTCAAAAAAATATTCAAAAAAAAGAAGCAAAAACAATAAAGAAAAAGAAATTACTGGTGGTGGTGGTTATTGCCCACTCATCATCACTCTAGTTGATTTAATACATTTATTTTGCATTTAGGCAGGATTCATCAGAATGGAAATTTCTAAATCACAAAGATCCTATTTTATCAAGTATCAAGAAGGAGTTAAGGTATTCAAAAAAGAATATCATAAATGCACCAAGGAGTTGAACAATATGATGAAGAGATTAGATGAATTGAGAAAAAAGAAAGTGATTAAATGTTATGAAAGTGAAGTAGATGATTTAGAAAAAGAAAAACAGGAACTCAAGAGAAGAAGAAATTTGTGATCAAAAAGTGGGGGGATTCATTAATTAAAAAATGTAATAAGAAATATTCATTATTTACAACTTAACTTTTTTTAAAATTTTCAAATTAATTTTATTCATTTTGAAATTTTTTTACTTATTTCCTTATTTGGTAAACATTATATTAATATTCATATTAATTCACTTTATGAGATATAGTACCAAAAGAGAAAAAAGAAAATAATATGCTTAACAAAACAGAAATAGAAAGTGAAAAATATGCTAGTCATGAAAAGATGTTTTCAATATCAGGAATGAACACCAGGAAAAGAATTGAAACTGCTACATATTATGGTGTTAATCAGCAAATAAATTGGAAGTCTTTTGTTAAATTCCCAGTATTTGGTAGTGAGATTGTAAATGGGGACTGAGGAAGTCCCGAGCATGATGATAAATCAAAACCAACTTACTGCAGTAGTCACATGATAACAACATTTTGTGTAACAGCTGCGGCTCACATTATGTCATGTTACACGTGTAGATCATTACATCATTTCTATTTTTAACCTATTTTATGACATAATTATTTACTTCAAATTATTAATCAAATTATTTGTAATAATGACTCATAGTATTAGTAATTATAAGCATACTTTATTGGACAAAATATTGTAAAGGTCATGTTATTTGTAATACCTCAAGAGGTATAAAAGAGCTTGGTTTTAGACCAAGTGAGAATCATCATGTTCATGATATAATAATAATAATAATATAATAATAACCTTGTAACAAACATATTATCACTAATAAAGACACATAACACTTTTACAATAAAAACTTTAACTTTTAATAAAACCTTTGCTGAAAAGCACCTTTCACCTTAATCTAAATTATTCCAGCTAGGGGGCTCCTTAGCTAGGACAGTGGGATACATTTATCATACTTCATTTTATTTTATCTATTTTAGGCTTTTGCCAGCAGTACTTTGTAGAGAGAGAGAGAATTGTGCAATGGAGTTTTGAGTAGGCTCTGAGCTGTGTGCTGATACAGAGGCCTGAGATAGAGAATTGAGAACCCTGAGCTGTGTGCCAATACAGTGAGATTTATATATTGTACTTTTTCATTTATTTTATTTTATATATTTACTGGATACATCACGAGCTGTATTTTGCACACTCACAATGTTCATTCAAACAAGAAATATTGGAACTCGGGAATTGTACATGGTACAACAGATGTTGTGGTCTTTGAACCAAAGGCACTCATTGAACAAGATGTGGTGAAGCTTATATTTGAATTAAAAAAGGCAAGTTGTTTGACTAATGGTGACAAAGCAGATTTTGGCTTTATTTAACATTTTTATTAACATTACAATATCTTTTAAAGGAAGTTATGGGCAATGATGAGAATCAAGCAGTTGGAGAATTATTGCAGCAAATGCTATCTCATCAGAAAAACCAGTGACAATGCTCACTGATTTTCAAAGAACCTTTTCCTTCTTTTGACTACAAAGCTCAAAATCCATAATAACTATTTATGGTACAAAATTCGATAATATTCACCAAGCTGCAGCTTTTGCCCGTGCTCTCTTGTCTGAGAAATCAATAAGGAATATCCTAGATTTTCCTTTCTTTGACAAGAGAGCACAGGTTAAAAGCAAGTTCCATACTGCTGTGTATGATGAAAATACTGGTACAGTGAACCTCTATAAGTGCACCACATAGTGCTATTTCTTGTGAGTGTGCATTTATGGAGGGTGTGCATTATGGAGGGGGGTCTGATTCATTTCATCAACAATCATTTCATCAACAATCATTTCGTCAAAAGTTTGTTTCATTGAAAGTTTATTTCGTCAAAAGTTCATTTCATCGAAAGTTCATTTCGTCGAAAATTATTTCGTCGACAATCATTTCGTCAACAATCGCTTCATCGACAATTATTTTATTGACAATCATTTCATCAACAATCATTTCGTCGAAAGTTCATTTCGTCGAAAATTATTTCGTCGACAATCATTTCATCGAAAGTTTATTTCGTCGAAAGTTTATTTCGTCGAAAGTTTATTTCGTCGAAAGTTTATTTCGTTGACAGTTTATTTCTACAACAATTCATGTTAATTTGCATGTATTACAGTGTCACCAATTATATTTGGAAAAGCGTGAATTAATTGATTTATTATGTTTATGTGGAATAGGTTTACTAACATTAATTTAATTAGTGGATAACTTTGGTTTTAAATGTATTTAGTCGAAACTAATTAAAGATTTAGAGCTATGTTTTGACACAAAATTTTAATCCATGATATTATTATTAAAGTATACTTTTGTAATTAAAGCACAAAATTCGTCTGATAGCTTT